GATGCCCTTCCCCTATAATGAATTTGTTGACTATCTTAATTGCCATCCTAGAGCCTTCATCCAGTAGTTGATGGAAGCAGAAGCAGGAACCCACAGCTAAGCACTGAGCCATAGTCTAGGAATCCAGTTTTAGAGAGGGAGGAGGGATGAGCAAAGGAGTCAAGACAGTGCTGGAGAAACCTACAGAACCAGCTGGCCTGACCTAGTGAAAGCACACTGACCCCAGTCGTAAAGCTGGGGAACCAGCATTGGACTTAACCAAACCCTCTGAATGTGGGTGCCAGTTAGGAGGTCTGGGCAGTCTATGGGACCTCTAACAGTGGAACAAGTATTTATCCCTAGTGCACAAATGGACTTTGGGAGCCCATTCCCTATGGAAGGATACTATTTCAGCTCAGATACATGGAGGAAGGCCTAGGCCCTCCCCCAAAGGATGTGACATACTTTGGTTATCCCCCATGGAAGCCCTCACTGTCCTTGTGGAGCAGGTGGGGGTATGTGTTGGTAGGGGACATGGGAAGATGGAGGGAGAGGGAACAGGGGGGATTGATATGTAAAATGATTATTTCTAAATGAAAAAAGAAAAAAATACAAGCAGAATACAGACATATATCAAAAAGGTTATACACCATGACTAAGTTGGTTTTGTCCATGAAATTCAGGGATGTTTCAACATATACAAGGCCATAAATGTAGTAAACTAAATAAATATACTTAAAGACAAAAATCATCTTAATAGACTCAGAAAACAACAAGGATGTCTGGGGAATAAGGAATTACATAAATCATAAGGAATCATACTATTAACTATTTACTTAAAACCTGTAATATGTGTCATTCTTTCTATAAATATACATATGAAGTTTTAATGAACTTTATCCATATGGGCTGGCAATGCTCCCTTCAAGAGCGAAAGACCACCGAACAAAAAAGCTCAATACCACAGATGAGATACACTTATTTTTGAGTTGTTAGCCAGGGCTGTCCAAGAGATTCTTCAAACACACAGCTAGTTACTTTTACCCTTGGTTGCCACCCCAAGAGGTAGAAGGTAATTCTAGATTGTTGAAGACACCATGTGCTTCCAAACAGGGTTCAGGGACCTCTAAGCTGGAGCTAACCTGAATGATTCCTCTCCAAAGACTTGCTTTCATGGTATTAGAAGGTATCATGCAAGCTTCCAAACAAGGGAAGCAACTAATAGTCCTACACAGCTAAGACATGTACGAACCACATCAATATCCAGCATGTTACAATAACCCTATGGGTGCAGTAGTGGTATGCACTCCTTGGCAATAATCAATAGTTCTCAAATTGGACTTAATATCTGCTCAACAAGAGGGAAACTGTGCCTGTTACTGGAGACCTAGCTAAGTACTCAGTGCTAGTGAAATCATAGAACCTACAGCCACTACTTTATTAAACCAGTATAATCTCTAGCATCAATCTAAGCACTTGTCTTAATAGTCAAAGATATGTTTAGTCTTCACTCCTCATCAAGGAAACTTAGACAAAGTCTACTAGGGAAAACTACAGTCAACCAAAATGCAAGAGTTAGGAGCCCAGTTCCAGTGGATACATCTACAAAACATTCCTGCACAAAGGTTCAGGGAACATGGCAGAAGAATTATAGAATACTGTATAAGAAAAGGGGGTAGAAAGATGTAAGAACCAAAGTATAAGGGAGTGTGCTATGAGACTGTGTCTAGTAATTGTCAGAAGCTACATAGTCTTATTAACATGACCATACAAACATGAGCTAAACAAGGACAAAAGCACTAGACATGCCCAAGTAGGAGAAATCATCTTCCCCAAGGAAAAGCAGACCAATTATCCAATACCAAATGGTCAGCCCTCAATGATGGGAAATGTTCTTCTGTGTATATGCTTATGAATAAAACACTGATTGGCCAAGCAGGGTGATAGGAAGGACTACAAGACAGAGAGGATTCTGGGAATTGTAGGCAGAGAGGAGTCGTCATGTTTTTCCCAGGAAGTGATGTAGTTGGGCAGTAACTGTCACTAGCTAACCACAGAGGTCTGGAGGTCTATACAGACAGGCAGGAAGTGATGTAGCTGTGCAGAATCAGAATATAAGCAGGGACAAACAGGAAAATACGCTCTTCTCTTCTCTGCAGAGATGTATCAGGCAAAGGAGTTGCAGGTCCAGCATTCCTGGTAGGCCAAGACCACATGGAAATACTTAGATTAATAGGTGATGGGTTAATAATTAAGTCAGAGCTAGCCAATATGAAACCCAAGTCAACGGCTAACAGCTTTATAACTAATATAATGTCCGTGTGTTTCTTTGGGGCAGAGAGAGGCGGCAGGACCAGAGAGGCCAGAACATCATACAACACCTCAATTCACACATACCAATAATATCATGCAGACTGAGGTTATATTTAGGAATATACACCTATACGCATGTAATGACAATTAATGAAAGAAGAGGCCATGAATTTGAAAGAGATCAAGGCGGGGTATATGAAGACTTTGGAGGGAAGAAGGGAAGGGGAACATGGGTGTAATTATTTTATAATATCAAAAATAGGTGCCAGTTGCTTCAGTGTCGTGGTGCGGCTTAGACATGTCTCGCGCATGGTCATTCAGTGAAGATGCCTGAGGAAACCCAGACCCAAGACCAACCAATGGAGGAGGAAGAGGTCGAGACCTTTGCCTTTCAGGCAGAAATCGCCCAGTTGATGTCCTTGATCATCAACACTTTCTTCTCAAACAAAGAGATCTTTCTGAGGGAGGTCATTTCAAATTCGTCAGATGCTCTGGATAAGATCAGATACGAGAGTCTGACAGACCCTAGTAAACTAGACTCTGGGAAGGAGCTGCACATTAATCTCATTCCCAACAAGCAAGACCGTACCCTTACTATTGTGGATACTGGCATTGGAATGACCAAGGCTGACTTGATCAATAACTTTGGTACTATTGCCAAGTCTGGCACCAAAGCCTTCATCGGGGCTTTGCAGGCTGGTGCAGATATCTCTATGATTGGCCAGTTTGGTGTTGGTTTTTACTCTGCATATTTGGTTGCTAAGAAAATGACTGTGATCACCAAACATAATGATGATGAGCAGTACGCCTGGGAGTCCTCAGCCGGGGGCTCCTTCACAGTGAGGACTGACACAGGTGAACCAATGGGTCGTGGAACAAAGGTTATCTTACACCTGAAAGAAGACCAAACCGAGTATTTGGAGGAAAGGAGAATAAAGGAGATTGTGAAGAAACATTCTCAGTTTATCGGCTCTCCCATTACTCTCTTCGTGGAGAAGGAACGCAATAAGGAAGTCAGTGATGATGAAGCTGAAGAAAAAGAAGACAAAGAGGAAGAGAAGGAAAAGGAAGAAAAGGAGTCTGACAATAAGCCAGAAATAGAAGATGTCGGTTCTGATGAAGAAGAAGAAAAGAAGGATGGTGACAAGAAGAAAAAGAAGAAGATAAAGGAAAAATACATTGACCAAGAAGAACTCAACAAAACAGCCTATTTGGATCAGAAATCCTGATGACATTACTAATGAAGAATATGAGAGTTCTACAAGAGCTTAACCAACAATTGGGAAGAACATTTGGCAGTAAAGCATTTTTCTGTTGGAAGGACAGTTGGAATTCCGGGCCCTTCTCTTTGTTCCAAGACGTTCTCCTTTTGATCTGTTTGAAAACAGAAAGAAAAAAAACAACATCAAGTTGTATGTGCGCAGAGTTTTCATCATGGATAACTGTGAGGAGTTAATCCCAGAGTATCTGAATTTCATTAGAGGAGTGGTAAATTCTGAGGATCTTCCTCTAAATATTTCCTGTGAAATGTTGCAGCAAAGCAAAATCTTGAAAATTATCAGAAAGAATTTGGTCAAGAAATGCTTAGAACTATTTACTGAACTGGCAGAAGACAAAGAGAACTACAAAAAGTTTTATGAGCAGTTCTCAAAAAATATAAAGCTTGGAATTCATGAAGACTCTCAAAATCGGAAGAAACTTTCAGAGCTGTTGCAATACTACACATCTGCTTCTGGAGATGAGATGGTTTCTCTCTAGGACTATTGCACCAGAATGAAGGAAAACCAGAAGCACATCTACTTCATCACAGGTGAGACCAAGGACCAAGTTGCTAACTCTGCTTTTGTGGAGCATCTCCGAAAGCATGGCTTAGTAGTAATCTATATGATTGAGCCCATTGATGAGTACTGTGTGCAACAGCTGAAGGAGTTTGAGGGCAAGACCTTGGTGTCTGTTACCAAAGAAGGACTGGAACTTCCAGAAGATGAAGAGGAGAAAAAGAAACAGGAAGAGAAAAAGACAAAATTTGAAAACCTCTACAAAATTATGAAAGATATTTTGGAGGAAAAGGTTGAGAAGGTGGTTGTATCAAACCGATTGGTGACATCCCCTTGCTGTATTGTCACAAGCACATACGGGTGGACAGCAAACATGGAGAGAATCATGAAAGCCCAAGCTCTCAGAGACAACTCAATGGTGGGTTACGTGGCAGCAAAGAAACACCTGAAGATAAACCCTGACCACTCCATTATTGAAACCCTATGACAAAAGGCAGAGGCTGACAAGAATGACAAGTCTGTGAAGGATCTGGTGATCTTGCTGTATGAAACTGCACTCCTGTCTTCTGGTTTCAGTCTGGAAGATCCCCAGACACATGCTAACAGGATCTACAGGATGATCAAGCTTGGTCTAGGTATTGATGAAGATGATCCTACTGTGGATGATACCAGTGCTGCTGTAACTAAAGAAATGCCACGCCAGGAAGGAGATGACGACACATCATGCATGGAAGAAGTAGACTAAACTTCACCAGAGCTACATGTTTGATGCTTACTTTCATTCCTTCTGATAATATATTTTTGAGGATTTTTATTTATTTTTGTTAACATTCAAAACATCTGTGTGACATGAAAACTAAGGGGAAGATAAAATTCCTTCTACTTGTGATACTGTGATACTCTAGGTTTGACTCAACGGCTTGGTAGAACATTTGTTGTAAGACATAATATAACCTATTAACTTTGTGGTCTGAAGTGTTTATAGCTGTTGAGCTGGATTCCTTAGTAGACCAAATAATTTGTCACTTGGAAGTGTTCTAAGATAGCTTCATGTTTAAAAGGAAAAAAATTAAGATGGCTTAAGTTTCATCTTAAGAATTTTCATCCCCTGTAGTTAATTCTGCATGTACTAGTCTTAAAAGTAAACACTCACGCTAAAACCCCTGAGGAATTCCCCATGTAGCTTGTTTTCAAAGTACTGAGAACAAAACTCTGAGATTCCCTAGTCTTGTAACTCAGCAAGGCTTGTGAATGGAAATATAGTGCCCAATCACATTCTGTTTTAAAAGAAATACAGATGACATAAAAAAATAATCTCAAAAATAAAAATTATGGTATATATTTTTGTAGGTTTCATGAAGGAGAATAATTTTTTCTTATTAATTTCATTTTGAATGGCATGAAACAAAACTGGTACATATATAAGCAAACATCATCTCTCTATATGTGTGTCCTTGCGTGTATATGAATAAAAATATGTATGAGGCATGAACGCAATACTTATTAAGATACCTGGGTCATTCTGACAGTGAAGTTACATCCATAATCCCAGTGACATCTATTACCTCCAGCTAACTGGCAGTGGTGGGCTGGCCTCTCAGTTCTGTATGGAATGAGTTGGCTTGCTCTAGGGGCTTTTCAGCCTAGGAAAGGAGACAGATCCTTATAATGTCCTGGCAACCTGGGAATCCATAATACACCAGATTAATTTATCAAAGGAAATGAACTTTTACATGTAATTGGAGATTTTGCTTTTAATTCTAGGAAATATGTTACCTCATGACTGGAGGGTGGAGGCATAGCTAAAACTGCTATATTATAATGTATACAGTGGTATCTTCTGCAGCATGGCTTTTCTTACCTTGATCTTTTGGTGATACCGATGAAGAATTCAGCATTATGATGTATGTGACTTGAATAGTAACTTTCCTAAAATATTCAAGAACAAAGAATAATTAGAAAGCAGTTGAAATATTATGTTAATACACATTAAGATATGAAATATAAGAGTTTTTGAAAAAGTTTCCCTATTTATAACTAAATGAGTGGTAAGAAATGGATCTTAAGCTATTAATAATCGATGTTATATATTTTCTGTTCATTTTTCTACAGATAGTATTTTGCCAAATATACTGAATTGGACTTGGGGAAGAAACTATAATGCTGTATGAGGACCTACCTGCACCTCTGCTCTCACAGTTATATAGGAAGTAGGCAAAGTGAAGATCCTCTGAGAATGTCCTGCCTAATAACTGCATTTCATATATATTTTAAACAATAATTACAAAGATAAATTATAAATGATAATTAAAACACTAAAATATAAATCATAAGCTGCAAGAGGAACATAATCTAATATAGTCACTTGATAGAATACAGGCTCACCAATGTAAAAGGAGTATGAAACCTATGTAGGAGCATAATAAATGCTGATACAATCATCCTAAAAGACAAGGGCCAGTATTACAGTCATACAGGAAAGTGCATGGGGGCAAATTCACAAATGTGTCTGCAATGTGCTAGGTTATGGAATTATAAGTTTTCCTTTTCAAGTTAGCAAGTTTCTAAGCTGTCTACACATTGACCAGTAACTCAGTATTCATGGGGAATGGTGCTGGGAACCCCTCGGAGATAAAAAGTCAGTACTTTTGGTGTGCTGTTTGCAAATAATCCATACACATTCTCCTGTATATTTTAAATAATTTCTAAATTACTCCAAAATTTGGGTTCAATGTAAATGCTATATAAATAGACACTGTATATGAGTATATCCAACCAGAGACCTAACTATGCATGTGGTCAAACACATTTGTAGATGAGTCATGTCACAATATCAAAACATTAGTCACTCTGCTTGTCTAGGGAATGATGAAAATAAACAATTCACTACATTTTCTATATAGATGCAGCTTTAATCAATTATAGTCAATTAATTTATTTGTTTGAGACAGGTTTTACTTTGTAGCCCAGCCTGGTCTAGAACTCACAGTAATATACCTGCCTCACTCTGCCAAGTATGAGCAACATTCTCAGCTATAGATGCAGCTTAAAAAATATCTTTGAAGCAAGGCATGGTAGTACAAGCTTGTAAATCCTAGCACTTGGGGCTGGAAGCAGGAGGATGAGGATTCAAAGCCAGCTTAGGCTACATGACAGCTGTCTAAAACAGCCTGAAATGTAAAACGTATTATTGAGGTTATTTTGTGATAGGGTCACTATGTAGCCATTGCAGGCCAGCTTTGAACTCACAAAGTTATGTGTACCTCTGCCTTCCAAGTGCTGGAATTAAAGGCATGTACCACCACATGGGCTAAAATTCTTATTTTGAGAATGTAAAAATGCAGATAAAGAAAGGTGACTGTGTTTGAATAAAAAAAAACAGTTAAGATCTTTGTAAAAATATTGACGGTTATATTATATATATTAAGCTCTTAAGTACAGATATTTTTCCAAGTAATATCATCAACTAAAACCATTGAGTTCAAAACTGGTGTAACTTTCCACTTTAAATAAAAAAAGGAAAATGGGTAAAATTAAAAGGAACAATTTTCACTTTTTATCAGAACAGAGTAACAGAGATCAAAATTATCCTTCTACATAAAACAATAAAAATAAGGATGAAACAGATAATCAGATCTTTCAAAGACACCAGAAATTAGTTCTGAAAAATAGATCCCAATGAGGATGGAGAGATGGCTCAGAGGTTTAGTACACTGGTTGGTCTTCCAGAAGGTTTGGGTGGGATTCCCAGCACGGGTGTGGAAGCTTACTACTGTCTCTAACTCTAGTTCCACACAATAGGATGCCCCTTTCTGACCTACACAGGCACCAGGCATGTGAGTGATATGCAGACATACCACAGGCAAAAAATCCCACACACACATAAAATAAAAACAAATGATTCTTTAAACAAACAACAACAATAAAAATATCCCAAAGAGACAGGAAACCACAGTAGTGAGCTGGATAACTACGATGGAGGGGGCAGGGGCCTGACTCTGGCTACTATGGAGGAAAAAGAGTCTCCATTGCGTTTCTCCTTAATTACAATTATTGAGCATGCAAAAAAAAACTATAAAGTATGATTCACACCGAAGAAAATAAGGAAAAGTGACCGAGGTATTAGAAATAATAGATAAGAATATGGGGTATTTATTCATATTAATTATTTACTTACTAGGCATTTTGGAAGAATATATTAACAATTTTTAAGGCATAGCAATAGATACTACCCAAAATGAAACTGAGAAGTGGAGTTAAATAAAAACAAACACAGAAACGCAAAGCATCATGAGCTGAGCTATAGGAAAAATTAGAAGCTCATTTCAATATCTGAAGAGGAGAAATGGAAAGACCAGAATGCTTAAGAAATAATAGGTCAAACACTGTGACAAAACTGTAAATACACACATCCAAACATGTAAAAACTATAATACACAAAAAGATAAAGATCACAGGAAGGACTATCATTGACCAACCTGCCCAAAACGAGAGAAAAGAAGAAAAACTAGAGATAATGTATTACAAGAGAGGAAGCAATGTATTATGGGTGACAGGAGACACCTTATTACAAACAAGTGAGAAAACAGCAAGCATGAAGAAGTGAGGGAGAACCAACCCTGTGATCAAAAATCCTATGTCTGTCAAAGAAACATTAAATCCAGACGGCTTCCTAAAGGCTTTCAGTCCTTAAGGAAGAAATGACTCCAAGCATACACAAATTCTTCTAGAATATTGGAAAGGTGGATTTGGGCAACCACTCAGTTGGTAGAGTGCCTGCTGTGCAAGCATGAAGATCTAAGTTTGGATACCCAGCACCCATGTAAAAACTTGGCATGATGGTGCATGCCTGTGATCTTAGCACTGGTGGCAGAGACTGGAGCTTGCCAGGTAGCTAGTATAGCAGAATCCTATACTAGGTCAAGTGTACCTGCACACATAAACAACACACATACATACACAGAGAAAACCGAAAAGAAGGAATTTCTCACTACTTAAGAAGTGAGCGCTATCTAGACACCAAAGCTAGACACAGTCTTTATGAGAAAAGAAACTAAAGACACAACTAAGAAAGAAAACTACAGACCAATTTCCCTCATGAACATGGATGCAAAAATACTCAATAAAATACTAGCAAACCGGATTCAAGAACACATCAGAAAAATCATCCACCATGATCAAGTAGGCTTCATCCCAGGAATGCAGGGATGGTTCAACACTAGAAAAATCTATCAGTGTAATCCACCATATAAACAAACTGTGAAAGAAAAACCACAAGATCATCTCACTAGATGCTGAAAAAACCTTTGACAAAATCTAGCACCCCTTCATGATAAAGGTCTTAGAGAGATCAGTGATAACAGGAACATACCTGAATATAATAAAAGCAATATACAGTAAACCAACAGCTAACATCAAACTAAATGGAGAGAAACTCAACTCAATTCCTCTAAAATCAGGAACAAGACAAGGCTGTCCACTCTCTCCATATCTCTTCAATATTGTACTTGAAGTTCTAGCTACAGCAATACGACAGCAAAAGGAGATGAAGGGGATACAAATAGGAAAAGAAGAAGTCAAGCTTTCACTATTTGCAGATGATATGATAGTTTACATAAGTGACCTGAAAAACTCTGCAAGGGAACTCCTAGAGCTGATAAACAACTTCAGCAAAGTGGCAGGATACAAGGTAAACTAAAAAAAAAAATCAGTGTCCCTATTATATACAGATGATGAAGTGACTGAGAAAGAAATCAGAGAAACATCACCCTTTACAACAGCCATAAACAGCATCAAATATCTGGGGATAATGTTTACCAAGGAAGTGAAAGACCTGTATATCAAGAACTTTGAGTCTTTAAAGAAAGAAATCAAAGAAGATACCAGAAAATGGAAAGATTTCCCATGCTCTTGGATTGGTAGGATTAACATAATAAAAATGTCAATCTTGCCAAAAGCAGTCTACAGATTCAATGCAATCTCTATCAAAATTCCAGCACAATTCTTCACAGACCTGGAAAGAACAATAATCAACCTTATATGGAAAAACAAAAGGCCCAGGATAGCCAAAACAACCCTATACAATAAAGGAACTTCAGGAGGCATCGCCATACCTGACTTCAAGCTCTATTATACAGCTATATTCCTGAAAACAGCTTGGTATTGGCACAAAAATAGGCAGGTAGACCAATGGAACCGAATTGAAAACCCTGATTTTTAATCCACACACCTATGAACACTGGATTTTTGACAAAGAAGCTAAAACTGTACAATGGAAAAAAGAAAGCATCTTCAACAAATGGTGTTGGCATAACTGGGTACTGGTATGCAGAAGACTGCAGATAGATCCATGTTTATCGCCTTGTACAAAACTTAAGTATGGAGATTCCTCAGGAAAATGGGAATCAATCTACCACAAGACCCAGCAATTCTACTCTTAGGTATATATCCAAAAGAGGCAAATTCATACAACAAGGGCATCTACTCCACTATGTTCATAGCAGCATTATCTGTAATAGCCAGAACCCGGAAGCAACCTAGATGCCCCTAAACTGAAGAGTGGATAGAGAAAATGTGGTACATTTACACAATGGAGTATTACTCAGCAGAAAAAAAAAACAATGGAATCTTGAAATTCACAGGTAAATGGATAGCACTGGAAGAAACCATCCTGAGTGAGGTAACCCAGTCACAAAAAGACAAACATGGTATGTACTCACTCATATATGGATTTTAGACATGGATCAGGATAGTGCCAGTCTACACTTCCACTGACAGAGAGTCTGGGAAACAGGAAAGAACCTAAAAGATATGCATGGTACCCAAGAGAAGAGGAATGAGGCAAGATCCTCTGAACAGATGGGGAATACAGTAAGGGGGGAGGAGTGGGAGCTGGGAAGAAGAGAGGGGGAGAAGAGGAAGAGAGAGTA